TAATCTACACAGTAGAAAATATACAGAAGAAACAATTTTCCACTTTGATGAAATGTTGGGTTCAATTCCATTCTTTGTGGTCCAGGCAGTTACACCAATCTTGAGAATGTCTTGGTCATTCTCTTTCTCAACCTTAGCATTTAAATAATAAAAATAATTACATTTATATTGTATCAGTATTACTCTATGTTGATAGAAAAGCTGTTATATTTTCCAAGAAAGTACTATTTTCATTGGATACTTTCAAAATAAAATGCTGCTAGAAATATGGCTGAAATCATAGTTAATTATAAATGTAACTAAAAGGGTGTCACAAGGTTAGGAACACCAATAAACTGTGTGTCACAGCAAACATCACATTGAACATGCTTTCAGGATTTAATTCTAAAGATTTATATGTCACTTGACTTTTCTATTCCATTTCAATGTCTGCAAAAATCTCCCAGGAAATAATCATTATAAAAACTGATTATTGCTGCTAAAAACAATAGAGGATTTTGTTTTGCTAATAGCACAATTGGTTCCCCAAACAGGAAATTAGAAACCGCATCCTTAGGAATATTTTTGAACTACAGTGAAATGAAATAAAACTCTCATCATCACTATTGACAGAACCTAATAAAATGTTTCATATTAAATTGCCTTTGGTGCATCTGTACATAAAAGTAATTATGCAAATAATATAATATCTTATCTCTATGGATAATTACAACAGTAATCATACTTATGCTGTTTTTTTTCTTCACACAGGTATTTTCCAAAAGTGGTGTCAAATAAAACTCTGTGATTTTTACCTACATGAAAATGAAAAACTACTGAAATCCAGGATGTGAGCTTCTTGATACAAAGAGTAACCCAGAGCAGCTGCCAGATTTATTCTTGTAATGGCCTGGACTATCACAGAATGGCTGATGCCAGGAGGCTCCACTGGAGACCATCCAGTTTAATGCTCTGCTTTGGGCAGGGTCAGCTGGAGCAGGACACGCAGGGCTGTGTTCAGTCAGATTTTCAATATGTCCAGGGATGGAGAGTCCACAACATCTCTGAGCAACCTGTGCCAGTACTGTCACCCTCACAGTGAAAAAAAGTATTTCCTAATGTTCAGACAGAACCTCCAGTGTTTCAGTTTGTGCCCATTGCCTCTTGCCCTAGCACTGGACACCACTGAAAAGAGCCTGGCTCTGCCTTCTTTGCACCCTGCCTTCAGGTATTTCTATACATTGATAAGATGGCCCCCTGAGCCTTCTCTTCTCCAGGCTGAACAGTCCCAGCTCTCTCAGCCTTTCCTCATGGGAGAGATGCTCCAGTCCTTTAATCATCTTTGTGTCCCTTTGCTGGACTCTCTCCAGTGTGTCCATGTCTCTTTTGTAGTGGGGAACCTAGAACTGGACACAGTATGCCAGGTGTGGCTTCACCAGTGCTGAGTAAAGGGGGAGGATCACCTCCCTTGACCTGCTGGCAATACTTTGCCTAATGCAGCCCAGGATACTGTTAGCCGCCTTTGCTGCAAGGGCACACTGCTGGCTCATGTTTAACTTGGTGTTCACCAGGACCCCCAGGTCCTTTTCTGCAAAGCTGCTTTCCAGCTGGGTGGCCCCCAGCATATATTGGTGTCTGGGGTTGTTCCTCCCTAGATGCATGACTTTGCACTTTCCTTTGTTGAACTTAATGAGGTTGATAACTTGTGCATGTCCAGTTTGTTTTAATGTTCCCTAATGTCGTGGTTTAGCCAGGCAGGCAGCTAAACACCACACAGCTGTTTGCTCACTCCCCCACAGTGGGATGAGGGAGAGAATCAGAAAAAAAAAGGTAAAACTTGTGGGTTGAAATAAAGACAATTTAATAGGACAGAAAAGCAAGAGAAAATTATAATAATGATAAAAGAATAGACAAAACAAGTGATGCACAATGCAATTGCTCACTGCAATTGCTCACCACCTGCTGACCGATGCCCAGCCAGTTCCCAAGCAGCAGACCCCTGAGCAGCGAACCCCTGGCCAACTTTTTCCCTAGTTTATATCATGAGCATGACATCATATGGTATGGAATATCCCTTTGGCCAGTTTGGGTCAGCTGTCCTGGCTGTGCCCCCTCCCAGCTTCT